ATTTGGTTGGCTAGAATTTTATTGAGGATTTTTGTGTCTATGTTCATCAGGGAAATTTGTCTGTAATTCTATTTCTCTGCTGCTTCTTTTTCAGGTTTAGGAATTAAGGTGATCCTGGCTTCACAGAAAGAATTTGGGAGAATTCTCTCCCTTTCAATTGTTTGAATAGCTTGAGAAGAATTGGAATTCAGCAGTCTATTTTGTTTGATGTTAGGATGGCTACCCCAGCTCTCTTTGGTTTCTGTTAGCATAGAATATATTTTTCTATCCTTTCACTTTCAGTCTGCATTCATCTTTGTTAGTGAGATGTGTTTTTTGTAGGCAACAAATAGATGGGTTTTGTTTTTTAATCCATTCATCCAGTCTGTGTCTTTTAACTGGAGAGTTGAGGCCGTTTACATTCAAGGTGACTACTGATAAGTAATAACTTTGCCCTGCTTTTTTCCATAAGTATTCCATTTTTTTTTTTACTTTGGATTTCCTTTGCACTTTTACTTGGAGTTTTCTGCATTTACCTTTTTTTTTTTTTTTGTAGTGATGACCATGTTTCTGTGTACAGCATATCCTTAAGTATCCTTTGCAAGGATGAATAGGTAGTGACAAATTATTTCAATTTCTGTTTGTTATGGAAGATCTGCATTTCACCTTCATTCATAAATGAAAGTTTTGCAGGGTACAGTATTCTTGCTCGACCATTGTTTTCTCTTAATACTTTCAATGTATCACCATCTTCTCCTAGCCTGTCTGGTTTCTGATGAGAAGTCATCTGTGAGTCTAATTAGAGATCCTCTTAAAGTAATCTGCATTTCTCCTATGCACATTTTAGAATTTTTCCTTTTGTTTTACTGTATAGTGTTTGATTACAATATGTCATTGTAAAGATATTTTCTGGTCATGTTTATCAGGAGTTCTATGTGCTGCTTGTACTTGGATGTCCCTATCTTTATCCAAATTAGGGAAGTTTTCTGTTATTATTGCACTAAAATTCCTTCTAATTCTTTGTCTCTTTCCATGCCTTCAGGAACTCCTAGGACCAGTATGTTGGGTTGTTTAATAGCATCCTATAGATTCCAAACCATGTTTTTTGTTGTCTAATTTCTTCTTCCTGTTTTTGGTCTGAATGTTTAATTTCCTGTGATTTGTCTTTAAGTTGGAGATTCTTTCTTCTGCACACAAGCCTCCCACAGTCATGAGCACCCAGCTCCCTGTCAGTTCTCCCCATCAGACTCAGCAGTCACTGTTCAGCTAGTTTCTTGGTGCGGACATGAGCTGGCACAGCTGTTAAAGTATGTCCAAAATGGTTTCTGCTCTCTGTTGGCTTGTTACAGGATACCATTTCAGGGTGAATGGGTAGAGAGAAACATGCCTCCCCCCGCCTTTTTGTCTCCTCTAGTTTTCCAGGTACACTATCCCCCACGGAGTTCCAAGCAGAATTCCCTCCAGGCTCTTACTTCAGCTTTATCTTTGGTGGCTTGAGCTGCTACAGTCCAATCTCACCTTGCAATTCAGAGCTAGTGTGGAGGCTCTCAGCTGCTGGGATCCTGAATTGTGTGTGTCCATGTAGGTTCACTGTGTCCCCCAATTTGTGTGGAGTTTCTTCTGCTGTTTTCTCCCTAACTCTTCTCTGAGACTGCACTCTCTCCACTTTTTTAATACTATCTTGTCCTAGACTAGAGCAGTAAGCTCCCTCCCTACTCTGCTATCTTAATCTAATCCCCTCCTCCTACTTTTCAAAAGAAAGGCAAACTCTCATTTTCTTGTATCCCACATATCTCAGTGAAAAAGAACTGTCTTTAGGACCAAAGGAAGGGCTGTATGACAACTTGTGCAGAGAATAAGAAGACAAGAATCTTTACCTATTGCCTCTGCATCCCTTGGGGGAGTGTGTTTCCAATTTTTGCTTTCATCACAATTGAACAAAGACCTGTCAACTAGTAGATCATTCTAAAATAACTCTTTTTTTTTTTTTCTAAAATAACTCTTGATGGTAAATTACTACATTGCTTTTGGTATGTGTCTTAGTTGATTTGTACTGCTCTAAAAATGCCTTGTACTGGGTAATCTGTAAACCAAGGAATTTGTTGCTCATTGTTTGGAGGCTGGAAAGTCCATGGTTAAGGCATTGGCAAATTCAGTCTGGTGAGGACCCACTCTCGGTTTCAGTGATGGTGCCTTTTGCTGTGTCTCTCATGGTGGAAAGAAGAGTCAAACAAGCTCCCCCAGTCCCTTTTCAAAGGGCACTAATGTTACTCCTGAGGACTTCACACTCATGATTTAATCAACTCCCAAATGCCCATCCTCTTAGTGCCAACACATTGAGGATGAGCTTTCAATATATGAAACCTGAGGGACACAGATATTCAGACTATGGCAGTTTATAACTCAATGGAAGTTTGAAGAGTTGAGTTACATTTGTAGAATGACTTTTTTCCATTCACAACTTCTTATTTATGTTGAATACAGTTTATTAGAACTTATGTATTTGGAAATAAAAATTATATTGTTGATGAAACAGTCTTATTCTAGTAGAAAGAATTATTGATCTAGAACTGAATAAATTGGGAAGCAAAGAACATAATTCATTCACTAAGAACCACATTTCCCATAAAATTTTATTTTTAACATTTAATAATTTATCAATTTTAAATTTAGTTGCATTTTTGATGACTTAAAGACTTAAGACACATAGCATCACTTAGAATAAAATATGTTTAATTTATATGAATAAGCCTCTTGCAAAGAAGTATGCAGGTGATCAAAATAACATTCAAGTATAAAAATGCATTGTATTAGGATATATGTGGGGGGTGAAATGGAAAGATGAAGTCAAAGAGGAAAACAAGCAATGTGAAATTCCTACCTGATAAAGAGCTGTGTGCATACACTCCAAATGGATGGTGATGAAAGTCAGTTTGCTGTGGCCTTGTAATCTCTTGCATATGTCCAAAATCCTGCTGTAATAGTGTCATTTTAAAGACTACCATTTATAGTATTCTCTCATATATGTATATTAGAGAATATGTATATGTATATATACATATGTATATATGTATATGTATATATATATATACACACACACACACACACACACACACACAAACATATGAGAGAGAGAGAGAGAGAGAGAGAGAGAGAGAGAGAGAGAGAATCTGCCATCTGATAGGCTCACAATCAGGCACTCTTCCTCTGCAAAGTGACCAAGCAACTCCCTATTTTTTTTTTTTTTGACAGGGAGAGTTAGACAGTGAGAGAGAGAGACAGAGAAAGGTCTTCCTTCTGTTCGTTCACCCCTTAAATGGCCGCTATGGCTGGTGCGCTGCGCTGATCCGAAGCCAGGAGCCAGGTGCTTCCTCCTGGTCTCCCGTGTGGGTAAAGGGCCCAAGCACTTGGGCCATCCTCCACTGCCTTCCCAGGCCACAGCAGAGAGCTGGACTGGAAGAGGAGTAACCAGGACAGAATCCAGCACCCCAACCGGGACTAGAACCCGGGGTGTCAGCACTGCAGGCAGAGGATTAGCCTAGTGAGCCGCGGCACCGGCCCAGCAACTCCCTATTTTAATAAGTCTATCTCTGTACATCCTTCACTGCACTGTGTGTGTGTATTAACTGTATCATGCATATTTGTTTTTGGATTAAAATACAGATATTTCTGGTTTTCTTTAATTTTTACTGTGTTTGTATAAAATACCAAATGTTTCAAGCCAATTTTCTTCCAAAATAGTAATTTGTTTAATTGAGACTTGCTTCTCCAATATTTAAAAAAATATTTAAAATTATGGACTTAGGGATGAGAAAAGTTCAGGGTATTCAAAGTGACTCAGTAGTTGCTTGATTTTGATACTGTATTGTGGAATCTTGTTTGACTGCTTTAGCATTGAATTAATTTCCCAGATTTTATCCAGAATGTAAAAATAGCTTGTAACCCCCAACCTTCCTGGTTTCTTTCTTTCTATCCAGTTCTCTTAGGGACACATCCTCCGAGCCAAAATTTTAAAGTGAGATAGTTCAGTTCCTCAAGCCAAGTAAATCTTGGCTAAAACCAAAGAGTTCTTTCAGTCATGTTTAAAAATATTTTTTCTCTTTTTTATTGTGATAAAATTCTCAAAGTGAAATTCCCCATCTTAACTATTTTAAGTTTTACAACTCACTGGTCTTCAGCATATTTATAATGCTGTGTGGTCAAAAACGTTATATAATTCTACAACATATCCAAATTCCCAAAAAGAAACCTTGTGCCCTCTAATTCTTCCCTTCCCTCACCCATGACAACCATGGAGCTATTTTCTATTTTTAAGGATTTACCTCTTCTGAGCATTTCCTATACATGGTATCATACAACATATGGCTTCTGTCACTCAGCATTATGTTTTCATAACTTTTTTTAACTTTTTTTAAAACTTCATTTCTGTTTATGACTGAATAGTGTTCCATTGTGTGGTTATGTGGACACATGTTTTCAGTTCTCTTGGTTGAGTCCCTAGGTGTGGCAATGCTGGCTTACATGGTAGCTCTATGTCTTGTGGAAGAATTTTCCACAGTGATTGCCTGACTTTACATAGCAGCGTTTTTATACATATTTGTTCTATGTTTGCAAAATGTGTACTCTTATACTAGAAATTTCCTTTTCTAGCTTCACCAAGATTCTTGTGACCAAATTTTAACTTGTATTTTCAAGGGAAAAGTCAATAGAAGAAAAATCCATTTAGCAAAATGAATCAACTATTTATATATATATATAGAATAGAATACAAAAATAAGTATAAACTTTATGTTTTTCAAAAGTTTGTGTATGACATGAAAGATTATAGAATATTTCTATTTTTAGGAGTAGAAACTGATTTTTTTTGGGTTAACCATCAGTATAGAAAGTTGACATTAAAAAAAGACACTAAAGTTCTCTTTTAGAAGTTATTTCCATTACTGTGCATAATCAAAGTGACTATTTTCAACATTAAGTGCAAACTGTGTTGTAAGAGATGTATTTCTATTTGACACATTCAGACTTTAACCCACAACACTGGAACTCACTACAAGATTCTTCCGGAAGGGACGAGAAGGCTGGCAAGATTTTTAGCGCCGTGTCTTGCCTGTGAGGTCATCAGCACACCCATTGTCAATGAGGTGCTGTTCCAGATGCACCTCATATTCCTGGTGAGTGCCCTCAGTGTGATTGCCTTCATTATTAACTATAAATAATGATATCATTATATCAATTAATATAATTTAATTATAAAGTGTCGCTCCCCCATTCACGGAGGAACGACACTGGACCCTGCGCTGTTCCTTTTGCCTGCTCGGCCCTTCCCGGGTTAGCTGCTGTTCCCTCACTCACAGAGGAATGACGCTGTCCTGGGTTAGCTGCCGGCCCCTCCACCTGCGTGGAAGGGTGGCACCCCCTGCCGCTTTCCCCACTTCCATGGAGGAGCGGCACACCGCCTGCTGGCTCTCTCGGGGGCTGCTCAGATGTTCCTCAGATGTTCCTGGTGCATGTTGTTTCTCTCCTCCTTTATAGTCCTCTTCCACCTATGTTCTGCTGCCCACATGCCGAGCACGCTGCTCTCCTCCAATCAGGAGCAGGATCAGCTCCTGCAGTTTATTGGTTGAACTGGAGGCAGCTGTGTAGAAGTTGTTTGGTCTCTCTCTCAGCGCCATATTGTGGGAGAGCAGATGCATAGAATAAGTCTTAATTCCAGTAACTTAGTATAGTCTCAGTTGCTCCCCACAATAAAGAATTATTACTATTTAATAAACATTGAATAATTTGCCTAACTGTTGGTGTTAGAGGTACAAATTATCTGACTGTTCCATGTGTCAAAAGCTAATCATTCTGGAAATTGTTGACAGTACCAGTGATCCTGTGACTCATTTTTACTACTAAAGAGGGAGCCTCTCTGCTATCCCCAGAATGCACCCACGTAATCACCTAATGGGCAACAGGCAACACAACCAAAGGCCCCAGATTGTTGCTGTCTTACTGCAGAGGTAGAGATGTGAGGATAGAAGCAGGGGTCAGAGAGAGGGAAAAGGGACTCAGCTGGGCACTGCTGGCTTTGACGATGGAAGGGGACCAGGAGCCAGCGAGTGCAGGCTACGTCTCCTCTAGTCTGGAAAAGGCCAGGCATCTGCTTCTGCCCTACACACTCCACAAGGGACACGAGATCTGTTTCCAACTTCTGATCTCCAGAACTGCAAGGCAGTAAATTCTTGTTGTTTTAAGCACTGCCTTTGTGTTAGAGCAGCAGTTGGAAACTCATACAAGGTTGTGGCTGAATGTCAAGGTCACATGTAACAGAAAAAAAAAAAGGTTTTGAAGACATTGAGCCAGTGCTCAGAGCAGTGAAGAGAGAGAGGTGTGGGAAGGAGACTGCTTATTTCAGAAATGCAATCAAGTCTTACTTATTTGCAGCAATGTGGGGGAAACTGCAAATTGCGCAGTTTATTCATAGGTTGTTTTAAAGAAATGGAATGATTTTTTTCAAAAAGGATTTATTTACTTATCTATCTATTTGAGAGACAGAGGGACAGAAAGAAGTAGAAGTAGAGAGTGAGAGAGCAAGAGCGCTCTTCTACCTGCTGGTCCACCCCTCAAAGGCCACAGCAACTGGGTTTGAGCCAGGCTGAAGCCAGGGTCAGGAATTCCATCTGGGTCTATCACAGGGGTAGCAGGGGCCCAAGCATTTGGGCCATCTCCTGGTGCTTTCCCAGGTACACTGGCAAGGGTCTGGATCAGAAGAAGAGCAGCTGGGACTCGATTCAGCCCTCCGATATGCAGTCTGGTGTTTCAGGTAGTGACTTAACCAGCTGCACCACATCTACAGAGGCAGGAAGAATCAGCAGAAAGGGGTTAAGGGTCAGAGGATTCAAACCCAACCAAAGCTGGCAAGCTTGGACCACATTGTCCAGTCTTTCTGAGTCAGTTCACTCTTGTGGGGAGCAGCCCGGACTGGACTGAGTTACTGGAATTAAGACTTATTCTATGCATCTGCTCTCCCACAATATGGCGCTGGGAGAGAAGTAAACAGCTTCCGCACAGCTGCCTCCAGTTCAACCAATAAACTGTAGGACTTGCTCCTGATTGGAGAGCAGCGTACTCGGCGTGTGGGCAGCCGAGTTGGGATTGGCGGAGGAGGACTATAAAGGAGGAGAGAGACGGCATGCACCAGGAACATCTAAGGGGAACATCTAGCTGAAGGAACACCTGTGCAGCCCCCGAGAAGAGCCGGCCGGCGGTGTGCCGCTCCCCTGCGGAAGTGGGGAATGTGGCCAGGGGGAACTGCCCTTCCACGGAGGTGGAAGGGATAGTAGCCAACCCGGGAAGAACCAGCAGCAAACCCGGGGAGGGCCGAGCAGACGAAAGAACAGCGCAGGGTTTAGTGTTGCTCCTCCACGAAGAGGGGGAGCGACAACTCTTATGTAGAAAGTCGAAAAAAAGTGTTATGCCCACACTTTTATATTATATAGAATTTATATATCTACCTTTATATATATGTATACATGGAGGCCCAAACTATTATAAGCAACACACCCTGGTTCTGTATATCCAAAATGACAAGAACTCATTTAACAAGCAGTGGTTGTAAATTCAAATTCACTTTGATTTTTGACAGCTTATTCCCAGAGCTTAACACTTCCTTCATATTTTCTCTTAATTTACTCAGTTACTGTACTGACATGCTAACCTGACCTTTATGGAAATTATCATGAATTCTAATACAGTGACTGAAAGGGGGACTTCCTTGTGCAAGTCAGTGAGTATGGGCTAGACTGCCCCTCCAGTCTCCCATATCCGAGCCAGATCCAAGGCTCTGCAAGCTCTCCGTGTTTACAGAGAAAAAAGGAAGGGCAGGAGGGTGGAGAAAGAGGGCTTGCTTAGAACATGTGGATTCAGAGAGAAGCTCCGGGCAGAATAAAGGACCAGGAAAGCCCAGGACTGGACTCCCGTTCTATCACCCATGGGGGTGGTGTAGCCTGAAGCTCCAACCATTGCTCTTTAGGGTCAGACGAGACAATGGATGTGGAAGCTCTTTGACAGATGTAAGCCCCAACAAATGTGGACCAAGGTTTAGTGATTTTTTTTTAAAGATTTATGATGTGTATTTGAAGGGTAGAATGACAGATGGGGAGAGATAATGGAGATCTTCCATCAGCTCGTTCACTTCTCAAGTGGCTACAACAGCCAGATCTGGGCCAGGCTGAAGCCAGGAACTGGCAACCCCATCCTGGTTTCCCACATGGGTGGCAGGGAGCTAAGTGCTTGGGCCATCTGCTGCTGCCTTCTCAGGCACATTAGCTGGGAGCTGGATTGGAAGTGGAGGAGCTGGGACTTTAACTGGCCCTCTGATACAGGATACTGGCATCACAAGCAGAGACTTCCACTATACCCCTAATGGTCTTTTTTGATTGGATGTCTCCTTTGTTAAAATTATAATAATGGTTTTTTATCCCATTCAGGTTTATGCCTCACTTATATGAGCTTGGACTCCTACCTCTTCCCTATTAAATATTATTTCTTTTCCAGCTTCCAAGCCCAGTTAGTGTTCCTTCCACCCTCCCCCCTTCTACTTGGTCTGCCTTAATGGCATCTGGAAGACACTGGTCTCAATGGTGTCCCAGAATGAAGCTGTCTTCTTCCATCTCTCCTCTGTTTCTCACTCTGAGAATCCTGTCTCCCTTCACTACCATCTATCCGGCGTCCCCTTCTGATGTCCCTGTGGTTAGAGTATGCTCCTGGTCCACGGTACAATGGGACCACAATAAAGGTGTTCAAAGAGGAAAGAGAACAAGGTATCCAGGCAAAGAATAACCTTCATCATGTCACCGATGGCAAATCGGCAGGTGGCAGCAGCCTATTAGAACTAAAACAAGTTTTCTGGAATTAATTCCTTTTTCTTTTTGTATGTTCCACATGAAAATGAGAAGTTTAATTAATCTGAATTTCTGTTTTTTGATAGGTCACTGATACTTATCCTCTTTTCTATACAACATGTCTATGGGGTAAGTACATAATTAGCTCTTATTGCATGTTGAAAATTCACCTTATTTGAATGCATGATTCTTGTTATACATTTAAACAAGTTACTCTCTAGGATACAATTTTCTCATTTTTAAATGGAGGATTGGACTAGATGGATTCCTAGTTTAATTTTGTGTTTTATAGTCAAGGCTGCCTGCTAAATTGCCTAGGTATTAGAGATTCTCTATCTTATGATTAACATAATCATCTCAGGTTTTTTTTTTTTTTTTTTTTTTTTTTTTGAGATAGCCACTGGGCCATCTCAAGATTAAGTAAAAAAGTGTAAGATTAAATCTGAAAATTTTAGCTCTGGAGAAAGATATCCTAGAACATTCTGTAATAAACCCTCTTGCCTCTGCGTTCTCATTAAAGAGTCTGAGCTATTAAACCCAACATCAGATGTTCCCAGGAAACCCGTCCTGGGTGGCCTGTAACTCAGGTTGGCCTTGAATCAGCTGCACAAGCCTTTCAGTCACTCCCATGAGCGCAGTGCCACTGTCCATAACCTCCAACCCAGCCAATCGTCACAGGTCTGTCCAAAGCAAATCTCGTAGAAAAGTACCTTCCATTCTCCTTTTCCTACCAGTGTGACACAGCAATCAAGGAATGAGGAACCCTCGGTCCTTGGCTCTGCCAATGACCAACCCTAACCTGTCCAAGATGCAAGTTCCTCCTATGTCAAGGGGGATGATGAGGCTTTTCTCAATTCTGTTCATCTGCGTTGAAGAGTGTCACCTGAAAAAATGAGTACAACACATATGACACATGCCTGTGTGTTTTTTTCAGTTTCTCTCACTACCTGATTCTTCTAGGTTTTTGTAATATATATTCTTTATTACTAAAATGTCTTCTGAGTTCTAAAATTCACTTCCTTTGTTTCTTTTATTCCACACATGTAAGTTTGATTCCTGAACCAAAGGTTGTTCTGTCCTGGACCTTCCCATCTGAGAGATCTCGCACAAGGAGTGGCTGTATTATGTGTAGTTGGGTTTTAAAATTAGATATAAATTAGTACAATATTAATGGGAGGCAATTTGGTATTACCAATGAGGATTAGTTTTTAAACTTTATTTATCTGAGGGGAGGAGAGAGCAAGTTGCCAGTCTGAGTTCTCTAGGTTCACTCCCCAAATGTGTGCAATGGCTGAGTCTGGGCCAGAGCTGGAGCTGGGAGCTGGGAATGCTATCTGCATCCCCCATGTAGGCGGTAGGGACACAATTACCTGGGCAGTCACTGCTACCTCCCATCGTCTGCATTAGCAGGAAGCTGAGCTGGAGTCAGGTGCCAGAGCTTGTCAGTCAGGAGAGCCAGGGATTGAACCCAGGGACTTCAATGTGGGATTCAGGTGTGTGTCTTCATCACTGAGCTAAACTTTTGTGTTCCTATTGATCAGAGTTTTAAATGCAAGTATCTATTGATATAGATAAATTATAGAACGATACATTCCTGTGTCAGTAGATACTTACATTTAAAACTGATTTATATACACAGATAAATGTGCAAGAAATTTGATTGCAGGGTAGTGTTCAGTAGCAAAACAAGGGAGCTACCTAAATGTCCATCAATAAAATGGGAGAAAAGATTTAAGGATCTGTATGTAATGAACAGCTATCTGGACCACTTTAAAATGATCTTGAAAAATATGATTATGGGAAAACAGCAAAGTACAGTACGACATACCATTTGGGTAAAAATAAACACATTAAAAGTCACCAAAAGTGTGTCTGTGCATTCGTGTGTATGTGTTCAGATGCTTGCATGAGTGATTGCTGTCTGAATATGCTTACTGATGGCCACAGATTTGAAGAGTAGCTTCTTCTGGAATGAACACAGTACAGAATTGAAAGAGAAAGCTTCATTTCCTGTTTATACTCATTTGTACTATTTACGATAATGTGTCTACATTGGTTTTCAAAAAATAAAATAGAAGTAAAACTAAAGTAAAAAGGTAGGACAGATTATTAAATTTATGGAAATTAATATATTCCTTTCTTAACCTTTCTATGCCAAAAATGTTTTCTTAAAAATACATGAGATAGGAGCCAGAGCAGTGGGTTATTTGTGACACCAGTATCCTATATCAGAGTGCTGGTTCAAGGCCCAGTTTGAGTCCCTGTTCAAATTTAGGCTAATCTGCTTCTAATGAGATTTCCTGCTACTGTGTCTAAGAAGGTAGTGGATGATGGCCCAAGAACTTGGGCTTCTGCCACTCATGTGGGAGATCAGGATGGAATTCCTGCCTCCTGGCTCCTGCTTGGCCCAACTCTGGCTATAGTGGCTATTTGGGGAGTGAACCAGTGAATAGAAGATAGATCGATTCTCTCTCTCTCTGCCTTTCAAATAAATAAATACATATTTTTAAACATCTGAGATAAGTACCTAGTATTTCTTTCTTTTCCTTGAAAAGTAACATGGGGTCTTTAGGGTGCAAGTTATCCTCAGTGAATGTGGTTTCTATTTTGAGTGTACAGTTGTTTAAGGCATCGCCCTTGGGTTTTTAATGGGTTTATACAATCTGTTTGTGAAGCATAGTCTTCCTCTATAAATTCAACCCATTCTTTAAATGTGCATCGCGATATGTCAATATAGAAAAACTTTGTAAAGCTTAAAAATCACCTCTTGTATATTTTTAAGTTGGTCCAAGTCAAAAGGTTCTAATTGACTGTTCCTGTTTCTTTATTAGAATCTGCTAGTATATCGTAAACTGACTCTCCACTGAAATGTAATATTGCTACAAACATCTCTGTGACACTTGGCGATCATAAGTAAAAATAATAACAAACTTGCCTTTTTTATCAAGCCATCTAATCAACTGACCTTTTTCTTTGATTATTTTGATATTTTGGTGAACATGTAGTAAGGAATTTCAAGTCCAACCTTGAATGAACTCAAGTGTTCAGACTAGTTACTTTAAGTGCTTTCCTGTTGTCCTGATATAACCTTGGGCATCAAATTTTGTTTAACCTCATCAAGGCTTTGAACTTACTGTCTCTGTATTCACAGATAAAGTGATTCTAAAACTAAAGAGGTATATATTTCTGAAACTTCAAATATATTTCTTAAGTTATTTAATTGCTGGCTCTTGTCAAGGTTCAAATTCTTAAATATTTTAATGACCCATGAGGATTTTGTTTGTAAAGATGTGTTTTTCATTAGTGCTTAAAGATATTTTCTTTTGGATTGTGTTGAGCTTATTTGTCCCCTCAAAAGAAGTCTAAATTGTGTTTGTAAAGAAATATATGCTAGACAGACTCTTCCCTTCCTTACACACATGCATCATATGTATGCATATGTACATGTATTTGTATGTTTTGAAATACTTATGTAGATAGACATGCATTTATATATATTAATATGTCTTCCATTAGAACTACAAATATTGATTCAATGTTCGTGTTTTGCCATTATAAATTGTTCTAAAGACTTAGGTTTAAAACCTTATGTTTAAAAAGATCTGTAAGTAATAGAAATGTGTAGTTACTATATAAATGTGCAGGCTGAACTTGGCAAGATTGTGAAGTAGGTAAAGGTTGCTTATGATGCCTCTGTATTCCATGCCCTGAGCTCCTAGCACCTGGAGTCACTTCAGCCACCACTTAAGGCTGTAAACTCCCACTTCCTCCCAACCCACAGTCCTAGACTGTGAGTGCACGCTCATTGTTCTTTTCCACTGCAGATGTGTCACAGAGACCCTGTTTGTCTGTAAGGGGCCTGTTTATGCAGATACTGAGACTATGCTTCTGTGTTGAAGTGGCTGATGACTGTGAATATGGACAGGATTTGTGAGAGCAGGTTGCTGTTTTGTGCACATGTGTGTGGTGATTATTAAGAATATTGAAAACTGGCCAGCGCCGCGGCTCACTAGGCTAATTCTCCGCCTTGCGGCGCTGGCACACTGGGTTCTAGTCCCAGTCAGGGCGCTGGATTCTGGCCGGTTGTCCCTCTTCCAGGCCAACTCTCTGCTGTGGCCAGGGAGTGCAGTGGAGGATGGCCCAAGTACTTGGGCCCTGCACCCCATGGGAGACCAGGAGAAGTACCTGGCTCCTGCCGTCGGATCAGCGCGGTGCGCCGGCCCCAGCGCGCCAGCCGCGGCGGCCATTGGAGGGTGAACCAATGGCAAAAGGAAGACCTTTTCTCTCTTTCTTTCTCTCTCACTGTCCACTCTGCCTGTCAAAAAATAAATAAATAAAAAAATAAAATGAAATAAAATAAAATAAAATAAAAAAGAATATTAAACTTAGCCTGATGTCGGGAGAAGGCCCAGTATCAGCAAATTGCAGGAAGAACCACTTCCACCTGAGGCCAAGGCTGTGACTGGGGAACTGTGCTAGGAGTGATGGGTTGAGATAGCCCTAGAAGTAAAGAGGGAAGTCTGGGAAAAACGCCAAGCTTATCCTTTGAACTGGACTATACCATGCACTTAGGGTTTGCCTAACTGGATAGTTACACTCTCAGACTGTTCACAATTAAATAAAGTCTTACAAGGAGAGAGAAATTGCACAAGATTCTAGTTAGTGGTTTAAGGAGGAATATTTCGCCCCTCCTCCAGGGTCCTCAGTTTTGAAGCTTCTTGCTCATGTGATCAACCCTCCTTACTACAGAGCCACTTTCTCTATTTAAGTACTAGTCTTTTCTTCCACAATTCAAAGGTAAAAGTATATTATGGAAATTCTGTGAGTTAGAAAACCAAGAGTGCTTATTCCACTGTATACATTATGTTCCCAGCTAAGAGATGAGTGCTGGTATACTAAATAAAATGCTTTATTTTCCAGAGTGGAAAGAAATATGCTGCTCCTTGTGGAGGGAGAGATTGCTCTGTCTGCCAGTGCTTTCCTGAAAAGGGGTCTCGGGTAAGTCATGTGAAAACCAACATGGACAGCATACCTGAGCTTTGAACCATTGTGAATATTTAAGCAGTCCCGGCTGGATTCTTTGCATGTTTTGGCACTCGGTAATGTCTGCCTTTCACAGTCAAAGTTGGTTGCATTTTGATAAGCAATCTCAGTTATATTAGAGCATGTGTTGGGCTTAGAAGGTATCAGGGAAGCAGATTCACCCAGTGATCTGTGGGACTCCAGTCCAATGAAGTGCCTGTGAAGAGAATCTCCCAGTGTCCCTCAATGCATACGAGGTCAGCATCTTGATAATGCTGTTGCATATCAGCATGTTTCAAGGCTCTGAGAACTGTGCAGTGAATGATAAAGAGCACCTGTTTAATTTTGCTCAAAATAGTCTTCCAGACACTTGATCATAAAACACTTGTGGGCAACACTTACTGAAACCAATGCAATGGTATGCTAGTGGAAGTGACTGCTGCGTGAACTGTGTGCTAATTACTGATCAGGGACTGTAGTTCATTGGCTTCTCACAACAACCTTTGCAGTGCATGAGACCAAAGCACAGAGCAGTCAGTGTCTTGCTCTAGTCCACCCAGAACTGTGCTCTTGGTGACTGTTAAACTCTGATCTACAAAGCATGAGAACCCTCTTAGCTGCTGTCTATCCAGTCTCTTGAACACTTATGAACATCTCCTGTATGTTCTGTCAGCAGCTGTTGGCAGCCCATGGATTCATTTGCACTGAAGTAGTAGATCAAACAGTTCTTTGATTAAAACTACTCCCATGATCTCATCAGGAACAAGGGTGTTTTAAAAGCTTTGGACAACTTTTGAGTTGTCTCATTTGACAATGACATTTCTGAGTGTCTTCATCCACTCAGGCTGCTCTACCAAAATTCCAGAGACCGAGGAGCTTAAGCAACAGAAATTTCTTTCTTGCAGTTCTGGTGGCTGCAAGTCTAAGATCAAGATGCTGGCAGACCCGGTGGCTGGTGGGAACCTGCTTCCTGGTTCACACATGGCCACCTTCTTGTAGCCTCATCTGGCAGAGAGGGAGAGGGAGAGGGAGAGGGAGGGGGAGGGGGAGGGGGAGGGAGGGAGGGGGAGGGGGAGGGAAAGGGAGGGAGGGGGAGGGGGAGGGAAAGGGAGGGAGAGGAAGGGAGGGAGAGGGAGAGGAAGGAAGGGAGAGAGAGGGAGAGGAAGGAAGGGAGAGGGAGGGAGAGAGGAAGGAAGGGAGAGGGAGGGTGAGGGAAAGGGGAGGGGGGAGAGGGAGAGGACACTCTCTGGGCTCTCTTTTATGGAGCCACTAGTCTCATTCATGAAGACTCTACTGATAACCTAATTACCTTTCAAAGACCATATAATCTAGTACTATCCCACTAGGGGTTAGAATTTCATCTTATGAATTTTGGAGGGGTTGAAACATTCAGTTGATTTCACTGTATCAATTGTACTAGGTAGTCATAGATCATTTCCTGTGGCTGCGCTACTACAGACTGAGTTCAAATTATGTTTAAAAAGCCTTTCTTTTTTGTGAGTCTATTTATTTTCATTGAAATGCAAAAAGAAAATAGTCTTAGTGCATCTAAATTTTAAGACCTTTGAGCTTGGGCACTGCCATCCCCCTTGCCTCAGGAAGGGGATAGGAGACTGCAGGACAAAGAGGAACAGCGGCTTTGCTGATGCCAGCTTGGTGACTTCTCTGATTTAAATGAAGCTAATGCTGTTTTAGCAGGTGTGCTGTGTGCCTTTACAAACCTCAGCCTTTCTAAATCAGTGGGTCCCAGCTTGGAGTAATGTTGTCTCCCACCAGGGGCCATTTGGCAACGTTGAAACATTTTTTGGTTGTCACAGCCAGGTAGAGGGTTTGCAACTGGTGGCCAGGAGGCCAGGGATGCTGCAGCTGACAGTGCCAAGGCTGAGAGGCCCTGCCCTGAGCCCACGTTGGTTCTGTGGTGCCAAAGCCATCATTGTTCCCACCTCTCAGCATAGGGACCCTGAACTCCCAAGATTTCTGATTAACGTGCTGGTGCTTGTGGCAGCCAGGAACAACATCCAGGTGTCTGGCGTCAACTCCGGATTTGCTCCATGATTGTGGAAAGATGATTACACTTAGGTTCCAACACCTGGGCTTTTGTGTAACTTTGTGAACTCAGGTGGGCACTCCCATGTGACCAAGCCACTGTTTTCTCGCGTTTACCCTAAGGGTCCTTTCCTTCTGTTTCTGTGGTTATTAAACAAGCACTAGCTTGTGCTTGTGTACAGGCTGCACCTGGCAGGCTCACGGTGCTGCGTTCTCTGTGCTGTGTGTGTGTCCCTGTCCCTGGGTGGTCAGGAAGTCCTGTGTGTACAACCCCAGGGAACCTCTGTTGTTCCCGAGATGGATGTGGGAGCTGTGAAAAGTGCCGCTGATGCTTCCCAGATGAGCATTTGGGAGCGAGGCCCTGTGCATGAGTGGCGGGGGGCGGGGGGCATTTGGGAGGTGGACACTCTCAGGTTCTCAGCAGGCAGCCACCCTCCTGACTGCAGGGCCCACTCAAGGTGGCCTGTGGAAATAGGAGCCCACTAAATTCCAGAGGGCTATGGGATCTCCCCCAGGCTGCACATTCCTAAGAAGGATGTTATTCCTCTCTCATGGCTTTAATGCCCAGTGGGAGGGTATTCCCGCCTTTATCAAAGCTGCTATGTTGAAAGCAGTTGTTGACCAGCAAGGCCAGCTCTGTTTTTACCACTTCAACTAGAGACAGGAACTAGAGTTTGAAGTGGAGCTGGGGGGTGTCTCAGGCAGAGAACCAAGGGTGGGCTCCCGCGATGCCACAGAATAAAGCTTGGCCTCATCCACACACTACCAGAGGCCACTGTCCAGCCTCAACTTAGTTGTTCATCTATAGCCACCATGACTGCTCTTTGGCCTTCTGCAACTATACCAGTTGGCCACTCACTCTCTTGAAGGTAATCTTAGCATCCCCACCTCTCTCTTTCTGAATGCCTTCCCACTTCCACCCTGCTCTGTCTTTCCTGCCCTGACCAAAGCTCACCCACAAGGCCTCCCTGCTCATCCCAGCCAGTGCTGCCCTCTCCCTCCTGGGCCCCACAAGCTGGCTCTTACCTGGTTCTCGTCTGTTTTCCTTCTACCCAGCTCTGTGGCTTTGGTTGGGTCTGAGTGAGGATGTGCCTGTCTTCTTGATTAGCTGCAAGCCTGCATCCAAACATGGTCATGGGAACCCGTGTATGAGTTTATCCTGACTCTTAATGTGGGGAGCAACCCGGACTAGACTAAGTTACTGGAATTAAGACTTATTCTATGCATCTGCTCTCCCACAATATGGCGCTGGGAGAGAAGAAAACAGCTTCTACACAGCTGCCTCCAGTTCAGCCAATAAACTGTAGGACTTGCTCCTGATTGGAGGAGAGCAGCGTACTCGGCGTGTGGGCAGCCGAGTTGGGATTGGCAGAGGAGGGCTATAAAGGAGGAGAGAGACGGCATGCACCAGGAACATCTAGGGGAACATCTAAGGGGAACATCTAAGGGGAACACCTGTGCAGCCCCCGAGAGAGCCGGCCGGCAGTGTGCCGCTCCCCTGCGGAAGTGGGGAAAGTGGCCAGGGGGAACCGCGGAGGTGGAAGGGATAGTAGCCAACCCGGGAAGAACCAGCAGCAAACCCGGGGAGGGCCGAGCAGACAGAAGAACAGCGCAGGGTCCTGTGTCGTCCCTCCACGAAGAGGGAGAGCGACATAATGGTGCCGTGACTTGGATATGAAGCCTAGGCAGGGTTTAGTGTCGTTCCTCCACGAAGAGGGGGAGCGACACTTAACCCATTGTGGACACTCTAGAAATTAAGTTGTCTCCTTTGTTTCTCCCTTTTGGGAACTGGGGTTCACTTTCCTTATTTCTTTGTGAATAATCACAGAGGTGGTATGTAATAGGGAGTTAATACACACATCAATAAATTAAAATTCAGACTACAGCCTGGACAGGTTCTGGAAGCCTGTGCCTGAGGCCAGGCCAACATGCAGAGGATCTGCCGTAGCCAAGAGAATAGGGGAATAGACTTCTCTGGGGGCATCTCTACCCCTTGTCTTTCCCCCCACATGCTGAACTGAAATCCCGTTATTGAGGGCATAATCTCACATAGTTCAGATTCTCCTGGGAAATTCAGGAGCCAGAAATAAACACTTTCAAAAGCAGTTACGCATATGACTGTTGCTGCACTCAGACCTTATAAGGAAGGGCACAGTGGTTTCCTGGAAAGCGCTTGGGATGGAAACAGGAGAGTGCCCCTTAGCCTGCTGAACTTTCTTCAAGTTCAGTAGTACTCTCACCTGGGGAATTAAAGTTTGCATGGGAGGGCTGGTCCTGTCCCTGTCAGCTCTACCATTTCATGGCTGTGACATGGGCATGGGTTTTCCCATGTGACACCTGCTTAGCTGGTTTCTAAAATGATTTGTGCTTATGCTCCAACATTTCTCCATAGCTCTTCACCATTTTTCTTCAAGGATGTGGATGGGGTGGCATTGGCCAAGATTTTCTATTCTTCTTTATTGGCTCCAAGGGTGGAAGCTCTGTGTATTTAGCGGTTCCCCTCCTTGCAGGAAAACTCACCTTTTCTGAACAAGAATGAAAACTTCTGCCTTAGTAACTAGCCTGATGATAAAGGTACTATCTGTAGCTTTTTTTCCATAACAAAATAGATTCATATTCTTTGCCATTCAAGGAAATTCAGCATTAGTGAAGTCAGCAGAATGTTGTGATGCAAGAACTTTGCATATAAGGAGGCCAAATGGCTTAAAACACAAGAATTGTTTGAGTTCTTTGATTTGACAAACCAAGTCTAACATTTAACAAGTCCCTCTTTCCTCTGGGAATTTTAAATCACTAAAAAAATGTAGTTTTGCTGCTATCTCCTTCATGTCTGTGTTTACACCCCTAAGAGCTTGAGTTCCCTGATAAAAGTGGAATTTACTTGGGGAATTTTAATTACTTTTAACATTTTTTATGTCATCATTATTTGC